CTAAGTAAACCAATGTGTTACAAAGTCACTTCCGACTTTCAATTTCTATCATGGAATCCGGGTAATTTGAAGCCCATTTTAGGCTAAATTATTTATACACTGTCCACTTTCCCACTAAATTAGACTCTTTTCTAGAGCAAAACTGTCTGATTTCTATACCGTATCCAAGACTAAACTTCTTGAAAACAATACCCTTTGCAGCGGCACATACCCATATGGCTTATATAGGGGAGTATCCCCTCCTCTGCGGCCATTACCTGTACACTTGAATGGTGAAAGGCACAGTGCGGGTTTTAGTATCTGGTTTATGATTAGTGATCCTGGGCAGGGCTCAAACCATATTTTCAAGAAAAGTTTGATGCAGTAAACAGGAATTTCTAGAGGGATGGTATGGAGAGCGTTAGACCAAAAAGCCTTCTAGGGACGGGTATGGACATTTCCTGGAACACTCTACTGAACTATTTGAACTGCAGATTAAGTGACAGTGAATAAATAAAGTGGAACCCTGTTAATCTGGTCACCAACAGGCCATAAAAATGTGACCTTATTAACAGTTGGCCGTATTAAACAGCTTCTTTAAATAAGAAAATGACTGACTGAGCTTTTGTTAAGCCCAGAATAAAGTGGCCATAAAGACAAGGTGGATATATTAACGTGTTGTCCATAAGGCAGGGTTCCACAGTCTGTCACTGTATTTATTATGGATTTTTGCATTCTTTTTAGTGTAAGCAAATATGGAAAGCGTATCTTTATTGATGTTCTGGAGATGAAGGAAAGTGATGTGGTTGTCCACTCCAAGGATCAAGACATTCAAGATTGGTCCAATATCGCTTTACAGATCAAAGAATACTATGAGAATTATCATGGCTTTGTTATTCTTCACGGCACAGATACTATGGCTTATCTTGCATCTGCACTGTCCTTTATGTTTGAGAACCTTGGGAAATCAGTTATCTTTACCGGTTCACAGGTAAGTCTAAAAATAAGCATAGAAACATACATGTACATTTAATCTGATTTCTGTGAAAAGACTGCAAAACACATAAAAGCGAATAAACTTGCTGAGGTGATGTGTTTGCTATTTTGATACCAGTACCATTCATCCATAAATTAAAGGCTACTATGCAATGGTGTAAAAACTGATATGAATTTTATTTTTAGAGTCAGTGGTGAAATGGCATGTGTGCAATGAATGGGTAAAATATTGTTTTTTTCAGTATGAAGAAAAAGTTCATGTATATTTTGAAGCCACTCTCTAAATTAATTATCTTTTATTACATTCTATACAAAACCATGGATGAAGTAAAGGTTAACAGAAACATGAACTTTTTAATTTTTATTTGACTATGTGCTTTTTCACACAGTATGCCCTAAGTGATCATTTAAATGATGGAAGACAAAATCTACTAGGAGCTATAATGATTGCTGGTCATTATGTCATTCCAGAGGTAAATACATTATGTAGTATTTTAAAAAATTAATTCCTTGCTTTTATGTCGTGTTTGGCTAAAAAAAGTAGAAATAATACATTAAACCTAATTTTCTTGCCATTGAAATCCCAAAAGGTGACATTATTCTTCCATGGAAAACTTTATCGTGGAAATCGTGCCTTGAAGGTAGATGCACGTAGGTTTGGCGCCTTTGATTCTCCAAACTGTCCCCCATTGGCTACAGTAGAAGCAGGAATTGAAGGTATAATAAAGATAGGTCTTAAGCTGGTGGAGGTTCTAGAGATCACTTTGAGTCGATTTCTGAGCTGGATCCCTCTTATTCAGTTTCCAGGAAGTCTAAGGCTGGACAGGTTGTTGCATTGTAGTTTAGACAGGGGGTACACTTCTCTTGTGTTGAACCTCTCCGCCCTCTCAATAAAAAGAGCTCACTTTACTTTCCTCTCTTTTTGCTCTTAGGGCAGACAGGTGACACATGACTTGATTGGGGGGCGGGGGCCAGTCTAGTTTGGTTGACATGTTATGCATGACTTGGGCCAGGGAGGGTTCACAGTTTTGGTTAGGGTTGGTCGGGGGGAGGAGCATGGACTCAAATCTCTTTCTATCTCATCTTTTCTTAGTGTCTGAGCTTTGTGCAGTAAACATATGCTAAAATACCTGTTTTCAGACAGCTTTGCAGTTTACATTCTGAATGTTCCTCTGACATTTTGCAAGTAGCATTATACAAAAGTCGTTCAGCCATTATCATTAAGTTGCCAATGTTCTGCATTTTAAGTTTCGTTTTCAGCGTCATTCACACTAAAAATAGTTGACTGTGGCCTTTTCAAGCTTTTTAGTCAATTTTCCCTTGCCCTTTTTAGTTGAGTGGGAGGAGCTGTTTAATGAAAACCAAGCAACTAAATTCAAAGTCCATACCAAGATGAGTTCAAGAATAGGAGTGTTAAGAATCTTTCCTGGTATAACACCTGAGGCAGTAAGTGCTTTAAAATGTTTATTTACACAGTTCATTTTGTCATGTGCAGTGCATTTTATGGTTCTCTATCTGAAAGTACGACCATGGATTTCAAATTTCGACAAGTAATGTAAAACTTGCAAAATAAGCTGTGCTACTTTGAAATAATTGCTCAAAAGGTCTCATTTGAATTGTCATATACTTGGGGTTCATCAATAGGGTTAAAAGGCAGTTAATCAACTTGTACAGCATAATAAACAGCACCACACGAAAGTCCTGCTTGACAGCTTTCATTTGAATGGTTACACACTAGGGTTTCATCCACGGACTTAAAAGCTAGAACCACCTTGTACAGCATGATAAACAGTACCACATGCAAGTCTTGCTCAATAGCTTTCATTTGAATGGTCACACACTAGGGTTTCATCCACAGACTTAAATCTAGAACCACCTTTTACAGCATAATAAACGGTACCATATGAAAGTACTCCTCAATAGCTTTCATATGAATGATTACACACTAGGGTTTCATCCACAGACTTAAAAGCTAGAACCACCTTGTACAGCGTAATAAACAGTACCACATGAAAGTACTGCTCAATAGCTTTCATTTGCATAGTCACACACCAGGATTATAACTTGGATATAACTTCCCATAAGTTAAGCTTTGTTAAAAATGTGGTTGCAGAGTACTCAGTTCTATGACCCTCCCCT